TGACCTGGCTTAACAGCCTGAACCACAGACTTAGTAATTTCCTGCCCATGGCTGTTCTGAGTATCCTTGAATAGCTACTTCCTCCTGCACTTGCTTCTCACCCTTAAAACAAAAGAAAAAAAGAATACACCAAACAAAAAAAACAGTGTTTAGGACAGAACTCTGTCTTCAACACAAAAAGTGGCAGTTCAAACCCTTAAGAACACATAGCATTTGCTTACAAGTCTACAGTACAAACAGACCACGAGCTAATGAAAGCATATTGAACTTGTTCTGGCAGAAACCCATGTCTCCTTCAGGGAAGGAGGTAGTAATGCCTTAGGGACAGAGATTTTGCTGTCTTCTCTCTATTGCTGAAGTTTAATGACATAATGTTTTTTTCCGTAGGTGCAGCTTTTCCTGTTGAAAAGACAGCACTTGGGTCATGATACTCTGACCTTTTCTCCCAAGCTAACAGAAAGTTCCAAAAGTCTGCCTACACCACAAAAAGCAGCATAAGGAAGAGACCCTTGAGCTAGCTAGAAACAGGCTGCAAGCATTAGAGTTACAGCACTGTTGTGTGCTGCAAAAACTGTTTATTGAGTTGAAAGACGGGGCTAATTACACCAGGGACAATATCACACTCGCATGGCCAAGAAGCTTTCAGGAGCCACATCCATAGCTTGAAACAACATGATTTTGTACTTTGCACACGTAACTACGTCTGTTACACGTTGAGTATTCTTGCAACACAAAGTGGAACTAGTCAGGTATGCTAAGCTACAGCGTCTGGGATGAGCTTCACAAAGCAATGACACAAAGCTGTGAAAAAATTCTTCCAGGGATACTAAATGCAAAGACATCACCTCTGGTCCAGGGAGTGCAGGGATGAATCTGTCTTCTAACACAGGATGGCTGTGTTCTTGAAAGCACAAGCTACATCATCTGTGCCTTGTTCCCGTTGTCTGGACCATTTTCCATGTCAGGTCTGCTTTTCTCGGGTCTTTTAAGGCTCCAGGCATCTTTCTGCACCAGTTTCCTACTCCATCTCCTACTGCTTCCTTTCAGTACACAGTTCTCTCACCCCCACTTGGTATCATTTGAGCCAGGAAACTTTATCTGCTAGTACACTTCTACATTTACAATATTGTTCTTGCTTTGAGTCACAGCCCATTCAGTGTCTCCCATCACAAAACCCAGGCTAAAATACTAATTTTAGTAAGACGAGTTATATGTCAAGTGGAAAGGGTGTGCGGACACATTACAAAGATCCATTTCCATGTGAAGGAAGATATAGAGAAATTAAGGCTTTGGTTAGCACCATGATCAATACATGCTGTACAGTATATTAAACTAGCCTGACTTTACATCAGACCAGTGCTAGCAGTTTTACCCTTTGTAGCATGAAGGGCTGGCAACTGCCTAAAGAACACCCCAGGTATCAAGCTAGCTGCATTTAGATTAAACAAAGCTGTGTTACTCTTTCCAAAGAGAAGAGCAGTTACAACATCTACAAGAAGCCATTCATTGGAACAACTGACACATATTTCTCTTAAAGATTTTCAAAATCCACTAGGACTCTGAAGGAAGTAAGAGTGTTTCTCCTGGGAAACTTTTAATTGAGGAATTTCTCTGTTCTGCACCAGAACTGGGAACTATCCCCTTCTGTCACCAATAGCTGCCTCGGTAACCCCCAGAAGTGAGGACAAGTAGGATGCACTCAGCCAGAGTTACAACCACGAACAATTAGAGTTAGAACTTCCCTGTATCATAGCTGAGTGCCTAGACCCATGGGTTACTACTCATGCAGAGGAATTTCTCCACCTCTGACTTCCAGAAAGTCTGCCTGCGACTTAAGCAATCTCCAGCCAACAAAACATCACTGAAACTGGTAGATTTATAATGGAATACTCACTGCTGTGGGCTATACTCCAACACAGCCACTAGCAGATGGACTGGCAGCTCTTCTCTTCCACACTGCTGTTCAAAGGGTATGCCATATGGGAGGAAAAAAATCAAATCTGACTAGAGCTGGGTACTACACCTACAAACCCAGTCCACCCACTTAAACAATTTTACACACCCTTGTGGCAAAAATACAGTAGTGAAACCCAGTGTTCTTCTATGGGCATTTCCCCACCTGAAAAAAAAAAAGTCTTTGCCCTCTAACAAATCTTAACACCGCTGCCACTGCTTGAGGGCCTGGCCACAGGCAGTGCTTTGCTATAGAATGTGTGAAAAAAGCATTACAATACAGACAGGAGAGCTTTCTTTAAGCTGCATTCTGACCACACTATCAGGTAAGACAAGCTTTACAGTTTGTGTACTTGCTCAAGGCTAAGTGTCCTTTTGCATTTTACACTCCTCAGAGGAATTCACATCTTTATTTAAACAATGCTGAGAAACTCAAATATTACTATATATATATATATATTCAACAATATTTACTTAATGCTCATGCAGTTTTACCCAATACTATATATTTTGAGCTTCAGCTTGTCATGGGCTGGCAGTGTAATTTCAGTCTGAGCAGGAAGAACAATCAGCCTCACACCAGCTCCTTGTGGCTTGTGCTGACAACACTATTCATCCATCTCAAAGCAGTTTTCATTACCCATCCCTGAAAAAAACAGCCATTTCTAAACCCGAAAGCCATTTTGCTTCATAAACCTATCAGTCACCTCTGGGGGCTGGTGACACAGCCATACTAGTTCAAGAAAACCAAATAGAAGTGGGAGGCTGTAAGGGAAAAAACCCTGTAGACAGGTCAGTGTCAGCCAACAGAAGATAAAGCGTCTCTGCCAGAGAAGAGGAAAGAAAGACAAATTATCTTTCAGCTTAAATAAGGTATTTCCAGTAAATAAATATAAATGAGGAGTAGTTTAATAGCAAGCACTATTATGAGAATCAACAGAGGCCCCAACTTATTCTTTTCCTTACCTGGCTACTCCAGAGTAAGGAATCCTAAATTTAAAGGCCAAAAGAAGTCTCAGGTTCATATCAGACAGGTATTTTCTTGCAATAGCCAGCTCAAAAAAAGTGCTCTGGGTTACAGAGAATAACAGAATGCAGACCATCACATTTCACCCTCTCCTGCATGTCCCCACCCTGCCAACCACTCTTCCTTCCTCAATCTGTCTTTGCATCCCCCAGTTTCACCCTCACCCTGCCCAGGTGGTGTTTTTTACAGCAGCTGTTGCTCATCCCCCCTTGATCTCAGTCAGGGCTGCAATCAGCCCTTCGTTAGCTCTGGGCCAGGGCAGCTGGGGATGTTTCTCCTCCACCAAAACCCTCATGCTGCAGCCTGTGTGTGGAAAGGAACTTGGTACTTACCATCTGCCTACTGTTTTGTGTCACTAAAGTTTATTGTGCAGAGCTGGCCGACACACTGGTAACACCACTGTGGGTGCAGGCACCTCGAGCACTGTCTCATTGCCACAGGGCCAGCACACTTCAGGAACACGCAGCTCTCTTGTTGTTGTCAGACTGCACTGGTGTGACAAAACTGTGGTGGCAAGAACATATTTTCCCTGGAAGAAACACATTGCAGGAAAGCTCTGAGTGAACTCCTTGTCATCTATCATAAGCCCTGAGGCATGTGTTTTGTTAGCAGAGTAGATAACAAGATGCTTACAGCACTGTATGTAATCAGAAAAAAAAAAATCTACACTGTGAAATGTTAGTGTTGTCACAAGTGAGAATCAGATAAGCATGTGTGAATCCTTCTGAAACTCAGTCATCCTTCTTGTTACTAACACCACAAATCAGAAACCTGGCCTGCTGCTACACAACTAGAGTATGTTCAGGAACCAGCTGGGCAGGGTCCACCAGCCCTGATGGGAGCAGCTGTGTAAGCTGCACTTCTCAAGCCTAGGGAAGAAACAGTTCCCCTTAAACTACAAGGGGCATATTGAGAAGATGGATCTGGGCTTTTACTTGAGGTTTTCTGTGGAGGAAAAGGAACAGTGAACCTAAATTTAAAAAACAAACAAACAAACAAAACAAAGCAGCTTTCAGGTAAAGCAAGTAATTTTCACTATGACCTAAATTTAAAAAACAAACAAACAAACAAAACAAAACAAAACAGGTTTCAGATAAAGCAAGTAATTTTCACTATGAGAATAAATAAAGGACCGAGTCACCCAGCACCCCTGGAGGCTTTTAAGAGTGAGCAAATCTGTGAGCACTCTGATGTGGATTTGGTGTGACCCTGATTTTGGTAGGAGACCCCGAGGACCCTCCCAGCCTGGGTGTCCTTGTGATGCTACTAACCAGCCTTCGGAGTCCTTCCCAGAGCCAGGCAGAAGCCAGCCGGTGGATGTCACCCTGCGCTCACCGAACAGTGCTGCTCCCATCGGCAAACAAGGGATCAGATCCCATGGCAGCGGGAAGGCTCGCTCAGTTACAAGCTTCTGACTTAAGGTAATGACTTATGAGTATTACACTTCTTCAAAGACATCCTTGTTGAAAAGTACAGAACAGGTTAGTTTAAAGGTTTCTGAATCCCTGCCTGAGGCTGAAAACTTAATACTGGCTTCAGACAGTTAAGAGTGCATTTAGAGGCCACATTGAGAGTTCTACACAACCTTTTTTAAATGCAAACCTGACATACACCTCAAGCTGTGCATGTTTCCCCTATGCTGCGATAAAATGAACAGAAACAGACCTTGAGATCCTGTCAAGTGTACATACAACTGAAACAATAATGGTGAAACTGCTGTGATTTCCAAAGAGAAGCTGCAAGGACAACAATCACTGCAGGGGAAAAAGAAAGATTGTAGAAAATCAAAAGCATCCTCCAATGTCCCCTAGCATAGTATTGATTCTCCCCTCCTCCTGAAAGTCAGCTCCTGTTTATTTCAGCCAGGTACGCTGCAGCATGAACACTGAGGGGTTTGAATGCCAAGCTGTGTTTTTCCAAAAAAGATTCACCTAAAAATGTGAAATGCAGGAAGCAGATCTGAGTTCAGTTTAATCCCATTCAATGCATATTCATACCAGAGAGACTTATAGCAATTCAAAGGCTATCACCTTTATTAACAAGTAGCAAAGCATATGCAGGTAAAAAAATTTCTAAAGAATAAATCCTATGTGGGACTAGGTCCCTATCCCAAATCACTCTCTTTAAATGAAAATTTTATTATTTTGGAGAAAGATTACTTGTTCCACAAACATCTATTACAGGCAGAGCTCTGTGTCCAGGGAGAGTGCCCCAGTTTCCTCCCAGCGGCTTTCCCTGGTAGCAGCCAAAAGATTGCCTGACTGCATTCAGTGCTACTCACAGAAGAAATCAATGTCCTGAAAAAGAGAGTTAAAAGGAAAGATGTTTTGAGATTACTGAAGATTAACATTCCTTTATCAGCCCCCAAAGGTACATGAGTAAATGCAAACACAGAATACATTATAATATACACAAAGTACACCATAATATATTCAAAGCATTCTGGAAAAGAAACAGGCCTTTTGTCTTTTGACTCCTTTGCATAGCTCAGATTTGTTCCTGCCTTGAATTCTTAAAATTAATTAGACAATACCTCCTTCTCTCTTAATTTCAAACGATTCCTTTATCTCCCTTTTTTGTTTTGTGTTTCTACATCCATACCTGGATTCATTAGACGTACGTAACCCCTTATCCTCAAACAATTCCTAATCCCACATGAAAAGGATGACTTAGACTGAGGCTGTGCAGTACAGTTGCTACGGAGAAATGCTGACTAGAGAACAAATGCCAATATTCTGTTTGAAAACTTCCGGCATGGAATAGACTTCCAGAGCATATTGCTTCCTTCCTGCTACTACCTTACATGCCTACACAGATCTTGATTCTGTTGCACGGAATTACCACACTGTGGTGCTCATTTCCATTCAATGTATCCCAAATAGCTGCCCACTGCACGCAGGAAGACAGGGAGCTGTTGCAGAACAGCTGCTTACTGATAATGAGAGTGCTCTCAGCCAGCAAATGGGCAATTTTAAGCGACAGAGGTAAAGCAGGCAATCCGACACCACTCTGTAGTACACACGGCCTGTTGTGCTCAGTCCATTGTACTCAATTTGATTCAATGGTTCAGAAGTAGCAGCACCGAGAAAAAAAAAATCTCCTAAGATTTATTGCTCAAACAGCAACTGACAGGCATGGATTACCCAAGTGCTGCACAAAAGGAGGCTGAGAGAAGTTCACAGGCAGGTTTACTATAGCAAGATCTGCAGCTAATGGCATGCATTGACTCCAACAGTGAAAGTTACTTTTGGGGATGAAAAAAGAAAAAAAATAAAAGGAGGGTCAGAGACACAGAGGCCCCCAGGCTGATGTTCTCTTTCAGGCTTCAGGTGCTCCCCACAGTATTGTTCCCCATTGAGTTCCCTATCAGTCCTTTCTTCACACAGTGCCATCCAGTGCCATGGTTTTTGCCATCCAGTGCCTTGATCAGGGCAGGTGCTGGATGCTGATTTATTGTTACGCTTTGGGCATCACCAGATCTCCGTAAATAAATATGAACCCCTTCCTAAGAAAGCACACCAATATTGGGCTTTGCAGGTGCAAGGCTGGGCAAAACATTGCAAACAAAGCAAAAACACTGAGAGAAGGTTACAGAGCTGTGAGCGAAAGACTGGCTCCCAACTTGCAGATAGAAAGCTGATGGTATCTGTGGAGGTGTGCAACACTAGTTCTGTGTAGAACAGCTCCTTTAAAGGGTTATTTCTGGAGCAGGCAGCATGTCCACAGATGGGTCAAGGTGTGCTATAGACTGTTTTAAATGTGAACAAAGAGTCAGATCCTGAAGGTCCTATTTGCAACATACAGCTGAGATCAGTAGGACACGAAGAACACCTCTGCATTGCCTCCTGTTTTCCTCACAGTGTTCCTGCACAGCAAGAATGTGAAGGAAGGGTGAAAGGACTGGAAGTTTGTGTCAATAGTTTTGTGAAAGAAATGACTTGCCAATTAAAACTCAGTATTGCAGCCTGACAGGACTCCACTGTGGACCCTGAGTCAGGTTGCAGGCCAAGGCAGTGCTTAACCTACTCTGCTTCCAGTTCAGTTTGCCATGCGGCAGACTGGCTGTCATACCATTGAGAAAAGAGCTTAGAAACATACTTTAGTCATTTTTTCATGTTCTTTGACTAATTAATTACTGCAAAGCTTCTGGGACAAATTCGGAATAACCTGGTGTAGTGTCAAGAAAAGCAATCACTGGATAAATATTGGATAAAGATGTGCATTTCCGCAAATAAAACTTGTCTGACACATTGTAACACAGATCCTCTCAACTATTAACCTGAAACAAAATTCTTCCTTCACTTATTTCCTCATGGGTGTTATTATTAGATGGGTGTTAATCAGACCCATCTAATAATCTGGACCTAGGATTAAAGATTCCAGATACAATTTCCAGGTTGACACACTAATTGTATTTTGCCATATGCTGCAAAACAGTGTATAGCTAAACATTCAGTATGGATGAAGTTAAGTACTGTAAGTCTACCACTCGATTTGGTTTTAAGCACAGAAATAAGCTACCAGTAAGCATTAATTGTAAGCCAAACCATACCAGCCTCTGAAGAAAGGACCCTCCTCTTCCACTCCTCTGTGAAGTGCTTCAGATATTTAGTAAAAATACAAATTTTACAATATAGGAAACCCTACTGTGCAGGATCAGGGACAACCATCCTTTCAGAAATGCAGCCTACTTACTCACAGTACACTATTGTGCTTCCAAAACCTTTTTAATTCAATTTTCTGACATACCATTAACTTTGTAATGGAAAGCAAACATGCTCTCAGCAATCACAAGTTCTGTACGGCAGTGTCCATCTATATGTACAATTAACAGAAGGCACACTTTTACACATTACTGAAGTTCACAGCACAATAGCCAGGCTCTAAAATAGAAAGCTTTGGGTAAAAGTTACATGGCCTTGAAGGAATACTATCCAAATCAACAGGAACTCTAATAGGATGAAGCCCTTATTCCAGCATTTGTAATGTCTGCAGTATCAAAGCTTATGTTAGGGATTTTATCAAGGCTATTTGCCTGTATAAGGATTGCATCCCTAAGGATCTGTGACATGCTACAATCAACTTCCACAATCAGCAAATTAGCATTACATAGCCAAGTATAATTATGTAGCCAACTTGGCTTTTGCAAATTCCTTACCGTTGTAGGAACAGTCTTATTTGCTTCTTGATAGACATGTTGCTCTGAGACTAAACTGCTAGGGAAATAACCAACTGTCCCCATGTGGTCTTCATACTGTTCTCCATAAACCTTCAAGCAAGGAGATGTATAATTAGGTACCTTAAAACAATCCTCATCTGGTTCGAGCTGGTTTATCATTTAGTCAAAAGGAGTCACCCAGTAGTGTTCTTACTCTGGTTTTACACTTCCTAGGTTCCAATCAGCTGGCATATGAAACAAACCGGGCATAAAGCTCGAGAAAACTGATACTGCTTGTAGTTTGTCTGGATCTTTTTTTTTGTAAATGCAGTTAATATTTATCTTTGCTTCACTTAAATTTAAGAGTTTTATGACCAATTGTGATAAAAGCTTTCTCTTCCAAAGTTTCAGCAAATAGCCACAGAAAAGAACTGTTGAGCCCTTCTGTTAAGATTCAGTTCATAATTACTATATAGCTATTGAAGATATTTCATTTTAAAAAAGAAAAATATTACAGCCCTCAAGACTCCTCAACCAGTCTGTTTAAACTTTCACTTTTAAAACTAAGTTGTTGCTTTAAACCCCACAATAGCTTAAGCATTAGCATCCATTTTTTGACAGAAATGTGTGTTAATATACTTCTAGTTTGTTCATATGTACAAGAATCTCCTCTTACACTTCCAGCCCAGAATTCTCCAGAGTCTTTTTCTTCCACTAGTTTTGAGTAAACATAGATCAACTGCCCTTTTCTAATATTGATGAATCTGCAGTCTGAAGCATTATAATCCTCTTCTGCTCTGGCAAGGGAAATAGTGTCTAGGAAAGAAAAACACCAAAGGAATGAGATGGAGGAATTTAAATACATGGATAATTTTAGAGAAATACAAATACATGTGGGCTTTTATGCACATAGGTAAAACTATTTCCACAGATAAAAATAGGTTATCTTGAAATTAGTAAAAGTCTTAAAGAATTTGCTCTGTTCATTTTGCTATTTTACAGTAAGCGAAGTAACAGCTTAAGATTGTGCCATTTCACCACAGTGAAAGTTACAATCCTTCTCTCTACACTTAACTTTCACTTAAAAGAAAAATGTCCTTTACAAAACCCACTTTGCAGTAAAATGATGTGACATTCCACATCACCCTCCCACTCTACTTTTAAAGCTGACAAGTCAATGTAAATGTAACATAGCTAAGTAAGCAGAGTAGTTTTCACCTCTCTAACACATCCAAACTCCGCCGTTATTTTTGAGACTATTTTGTCCTCAAAATTAAAGCAGATTTACTTACAGACACAGTCATCATCAGCACACAGCTTCTTGCTGGAAAGCTTGTCCATAAAAATTCCAGTTGCAAGAGGACACATTAAACTGAGACACAAAAGTAAAACCACCAAATAAACACGTTGTGTCATTTTTCTTTGCCGCAGCACTTGAAGAATGTGTGCCAGGTCTGATGATTCCAGCCTTTTATGGAAGAGGCAGACACCTGGACAAACACGCTGGGCCAATGGGAACGGGTTGGAGTGACATTCCACCCCACCAAAGGAGCCGCAGGCAGAGGGAAGATCTCAGGGTCCACTCACAAAACCGAATCCCCTCCTAAAGCCATTCTGCATTAACATTTCAATCATCAACTATATTATTTAAACAGGCTAAGCCTTCCTAGACTTGTCTACAGCCTTAATCTTACCTCAAGCAAAGTTTGAAAATGGAAATTAAGTCAGATCCTGCTAAGCAGCGAAGGAAATTACATCCTTCCAAATCCTCCTGTCCTTCATTTTTGCAACTGCTCACTGACAAGGATGAATGATCTTTGCTGGACTGTAAACCCTCAGTGGCAGAGATTTCCATTTCCATCTACAGAAAGGACCTACCGGGACTCTAATAGACAGATGCAATGTAAGCAAACCATAAGGGAGTTGCAACGCAGGAAGAAGGCTTTGCAAGTCAGCAATTCAAATTTCAAATTTAAGAGTTCAAGCACCACATACTTGTGCAGGTAAGAACCCTCCCCCAGGGAGATGCAGTCACAGCAGAACACACAGGTCACACCAGGACAGCAACAATTTCCCCCTTTTTACAGAGTCTGCAGATGCAAGACACTAAATGGTGCCACAGACTGACTTAAAATGTCCTCTTTAAACCTTGGAGAGGACACCTGGAATTCATCTACCTTCCTCAAATCTTGTCCTAGCATATATGAAGCAAGACTTGTAGGGAGTATTTTAATTAAAACACATTCAGGCACACACACACAAAAGGAACACCCACCAGAGCTGCTGTGGGTGCTGCCCTGTCAGCAATTCAGAGTACAGGCTGTCGGGCTACAGAAGGCTGGTCTGGATCAGTCCTTAGATGTGATAAAAAGCAAGTCTGGAAATTCCTAAACAGCACTTCCAACTCCTAAACCAGCACTTCCAAATTCATGAGGAGGCCTGAAGAGCTATTGGCTGTACCAGCTTTCAGCCCACAGGCAGAACAGCAGAACCTGTAAACTGTCATCAAATATCCCACACTCTCTTTTAAAGACAGTGCATCTTGCAACTTCTAGCATCACCTTCCCCTCACAGCTGATTTCACCACATTCTCCTCTAACCTTCCAGCCCATTACTCCTTCCTCCGAACTCCAATATGTAGTGTCCAACTTTCCTGGCAGACAGCACCAAACCCTTGGAAGTAAATAAATGTGAAAAGCAATGGCAGTCTCATGTACACAAACTAGTGGGATGCAATGACAGCATAATTAATACCTATAGAACTATGACTGCAAAAGGAAAACCAAAAGGTTCATGATGGATTAACTGTCATTTTTGCTCCCTTACAGGCACATGGAAACAATTTTAACTTACAAGTATTAGAACACTCACAAAAAAATCACTAAAAAGAATGAAAAAATCTGTATATGAAGACAGGTCAGTAACCGAGATGATTGTGAAAGAGGTATCATCTTGCAATATATTCTGGGAGCAGATGAAATTTCAATTTTTTAGGTCTTGTGCAAAAAAAAGTGGGTTATGTTGCCACATACAAAACACTACAACTTTTTAAAGTGATTTTTTTACCAAAACATTGAGAGCAGTTACAACTCACAATACTACATCTGATTACTTCACTGCATCCAGTGTTAATTACATAAGACCTGCAAGGTTTTTAATAAATGAGAAAAGTAAATAAAATAAATAAAGTAAAACAAACCTAACCAACCCAGAGGCATTAGGAATAGGTACTTTGCAAAAGAAACTTTTATGTTTCTTCTGGGGACTTGCTTCTACTGCCAGCCACCAAGACAAAACCAAGTTGAACAACAGTGGTGTCAATCTGCAATTTCCACCCATAGCTGGGGAAAAAAACTCGCTAATGATAAGTCATTTTTCCTAAGTGACAAAATATTCTTGCTGAAAAGCAGCTGTCCCCTTGATAACGAGGCTGAAGGTTGAGTGCTGTATTTATTCTGAACATGCTGGCATTCAGCATTCCTGATCACACTTTTTGCTTTGGAAGGACAGCTATTTTTCAGCACCTACTTCTGAGAAATGAGTGTCACCTTAAAAGTAGTTAAACTGAATAAAGCCCTGCACGGCTAATCAATATTAAGACAGATATGAGGAAAAAACATGGCTTGAAAACAGCATATTTATATTTTATTTTATAAAAATTAGTATTTCAACAGAAAAAGTTACTATCCAGTAGATCTGTGGAAATCCTACATCTGTCCTGGTCATTGTGGCAATTCTGCACAAGTCTTATGTTTTTTGCAGAGAACAGCAAACATGGCAGCTGATGAAAATATCATCATTTAAAAAAAAAAACCTATCCACAGAACTCCTTTACAGGAGCACCCAGCTATTTCTTTGCATAAGTGATTTTCATGGCATGAGATGGAGTGATCTTGAACCCCTGGAGAGCATCTCGAGCAGCTCCTGCTTGGTTCTCATTTTCAAACTCCACAAATGCGATGTCGTGGCGCCCAGGCACTAAGCGAACTTCTTTGAATCCAGGAAACCTGTAAAATAAGGTGAGAACCAAATCATGTTTCTTAGCTTGATAACATATCTCTCTTCAGTTGCAGTAAGACCTTTTCAGAAGCATCTACTAGTGCAATAGTTATTACTAATGAAAGATTTAAACTGAAGGGTTTTACATGTCCAGTCCATAGAACTATGCCTCAATTAAGGATCGTAAGGTGGAAGCAATTTAATCAGTCTTGTATTCATACAGGAGCAATCAAAGCTAGTTTTAAAACTGCTCCTGCAGTCCTAAAGTCTTTAAGATTACAGTCACCAGCTTAAACCCAGTGCAGATTGATACCAGATAAATTACACAATCAAAACCAGCTATGAAAAAGATTGGATTTGCTTCCTGAACCAAGTCATCAGAACTGACATCTGCACCCTTGGCAGTAAGACAAAGAACTACCTTCAGAAGAAACTCTTATTTCTGTAAAGTCAGCTTGCCAGCTGAGAAAGCACACACAGGTAACGGAAGAATTCAAAGGACAAGCCATCTCTATTCAAAACTTACTGATTGAATAACATGGACAGCATCATCTCATTTGTTTCCTCAGGCAAGTTATTAAGGAAAAGGATATAGTTTGGTGGGTTATCAGGCACCTGCAACAACAGAAGATCAAAGTTCACAAGATTATACACAGCTACCCATTCTTCTGCATCTCTCTGCATGATTATTTGAACCAAGACACATGCCCTTAGCTTTGCTCATAACATTCTAGCTGGGCTTCACAAGACCTTCAGACAGAGCTCATTGGCTTTTACAGTGATATATTAATTTAGAGAGGTTCTTATTTCCACAAAAATCACATTAACATGTTGTCTTAGATGTCACATCTTAAACTCAACAAGTCAAGAGCTGACACTGCATCACCCTCCACACCCAGGTGCTCAAGTAATGGCTGAAGTGCTGTCCAAGACACCCGTGTGGCAGTGGAAGAACCTAGGAGACTCACATCCTTCCAGAAGAGCAGTGGGAAGCCAAGATGAATACCCTGTTCATCCACAGTACTACCAAAATACTGAATATTTCCGGGCAACCCAAATCCACAAAACCCACATGGTTTTACTACAGTGCTCAATTCAAATTTATTAATTAGAAATCTCATTAGATTAAAAGCTTTAGTCTTTGACAGATTTGCCTGCTGATATGAATTTGAAGCCACCCAGCAGACACAAGGCTGAGTAGTCATTTGCTGACACTGATTCCAGTGTCATCCAGTAAATTATAAGACACAACTTCAAACATCCTAATAATGGTGCCAAGTAATTTAAAGCCTCAGCAAAGCAACCTCCTTCAACTGATGGAAATATTCCAGGCAGTGCCATTAGAAAATAAACTTTTGATGTTCAAACAAATACCCAGAGAGTGTTGTGCTTCGATGTGAACTGATGTACATATACTGTGCCTGAAAACCCAGAGTGGGAGCAAGACTTTTCCCCTGTAGATGTATGCAATTCCCAATTACAGTACTCAAGAAAGAGATGCAGGGCAGGCAAATAAATTCTTCTATAGTATTTGCTCTCTTTAGCACCCTCATTTCTAACACGCATGAATCATTTAGAAGGTCACTGAGCAGACGAGACGAGTGAAGTGTTGGGGGCTGTTGCTGTATCTCCTCACAAACCTCTGGAAAATTAGACATCTATAAGAAAAAAGTAAGCAGAGGACCCCCAAACTCCTGAAAGGAAGCTTTTAGGCAGATATTCTGGCACCATGTATTGTCTTCCTTCTCCTTATCTACTACTAGAACAAATTAAGTTAAAGGGAATTTATTAACAATGATACTAAACACAGTCCAAATTTAAGAATCCAGTATGACTTGATAAAAGTGTTGTTTTCTGTATAATAATAAGAAATTGCAGATTCTCATTTCCTGTCAACCAGAGATAGTAAAAGGGGGATTTGTTTGCTGTGATTTAGTTGTAAAACAAATGTCTCACAGGCCAAAAAGAAAACTGTAGAATATACTCTCAAGTTTCCCTGTGTAACAAACCTATTATTCATAGAGAATAATTTTAAACATTAGTGCTTTTAGTTACAAAAATAAAAAAGCATTACCTGATTCTGTGGTGCAGTCCCTGGGACATTGGCTGAATTTGGTGTTGCTCCCTAGCAAAGAAATACAAAACAACTTTACAGAGGTGTTCTGTTAGAAATATATCAGCACACATCACCATGTTTCTACACAACTCACGACATTTGTTAAGGTTTTTTTAAGCTACAATCCAAGGAACATTTGTTGCTTATGAGATACTTCCCAAAGGGAACAAAGCACATGAATTTTGCTGAGCTCCAAAACCAGGCAATCAAAATAAAAAAACATCAGTAGTATCTGGTCTGACTAATGGCTGAGTCAACTATTTCTCCACATTACAAAATTCAGTTTAACAGTTAGGGAGGGAGGAAGCAGTTTTGAAAATGAAGGCCTAGGACTCCTGGTTTCAGTTAGGACAAAATTAATTTTCTTCTTAGTAGCTGGTACAGTGCTGTGTTTTGAATTTAGTACAAGAATAACACTGATAACATACTGGTGTTTTGGTTGTTGATAAGTAGTGCTTGTTCTAAATCAAGGACTTTTCAGTCTCCCATGCTCTGCCGGTGAAGAGGTGCACAAGAAGCCAGGAGGGAGCACGGCCAGGACAGCTGGCCCAAACTGGCCAAAGGGATATTCCACAGCACAGAACATCATGCCCAGTATATAAACTGGGAGGAGCTGGTCAGATGCCTTGATGTTTTCTGCTATACTTCAGCACAAAAATTACTAAATGTTGTTAGTATAGGCCAGGCCAACCCTTAGTGGAGATACATTTCAAGCCAACTCCTTTTCACGTAACTATGAATTAATTCTCCTGTTCCCATTTACCATTCTTCAGTGCTTATAAGGCAATCAAGGCATTAAAACACTGAAGGAAAAGCTGGTTGAGCACTTGAAGCTGGCATTAAAGATAAGCACACATTCCTTCTTTTCTTAAAAGAGGTTAGTTTCTACTTTGGTTTATTGTACCTTTGCCCTACATCTTTATTTTCATCTGGTAATAGCAAAGGAGGAAAAAAAAAAAGGAACAGCAAGGACTGTACAATCAGTCCACTCTCCTTCAACTTCTAGCAAGTGCTCAAGAGCACTAGGTATCAACAGACCCCAATTTAGGAATTGAAAAGTACCAAAAGACAACACTTAAGTCTGAGAAAAAAATATTTAAAACAGCTTTTGTGTTTGTTTTTTAATTTTTTTAAACAGAGAAGCAGTTTACCTGGATAACCTTTTTATTGGGTGCATTTGCTGACTGCTCCAGAGTTTTGGCCTTCTTCTTTTCCTTCCTTTTTTCCTTATCAGCAAAAGTCCCGCGCATTTTAGAGATGATGTCAGAGTCCGTTTTTGCATACTGGATACGCTTTTTAAAAGAAAAAAGAACAACCCAGTACATTTTGCAGTTAATAACACAACATTTTGCACCCCTTCCATTAACCGTGTATTTATACATTTTTTGCAGGAACTTCTTACGCTAAAAATATTGTTATAAATTGTAGGTATTCTTACGGAGATTTAATCCTCATAACTAGTTCTGAACGCAATTACAGAATGCTAAAAAAAACCCTAATATGGAAATTACTTATTTTAACTCATTGAAATCAGAACTCCATCTAACAGCATCTTTTTAACATCTGTCAAGGTAATGTACACAGAGATACAAGGACATTTGACAAAATTGGAACTAGCTTCCATTAAAAAACCTGTTAGGGTTTTTAACTCCATTTTAAGGGGAACTAAAATTTGACAGTGATTTCTTGTATCTCTGGAGAGAAGTGACTGGTCAGATTATGTGACCAATACGTCTGTTCTAGAACAAGCAGCAGTCACAAGTATTGAGGCCATGTTGCTGAGAACACAGCTGCATTGGGCAGGACACATCTCAAGGATGAAGGACCACTGCCTCCCTAAGATCTTGCTATGTGGTGAACTTGCCACCGGCTGCTGCAAGAGAGGAGCCCCAAAGAAAAGATACAAGGACTCCCTGAAACAACATCTCAGCCTTGGTCGTATTGATCAACATAACTGGTCTGCTCTGGCCTCCAATCGAGAGGTCTGGAGACACACCATCTATAACACTGCTGATGCCTTTGAGGCAGGATCACTGTTGAGGAGAAAAGACAACGCAGAAATAATCGTGCCTTGCTGAATATACCACCTAAGGAGTCTTTCTGTTGTGCCTTTTGCAGTCGGATGTGTCTATCTCGTATTGGCCTTTTTAGCCACCATTGTAACAAATGTGGGTAGGGCCCTTCCCAAATCTTCGTTCGCGAAGCCCAGCCATGATTGATTGCAGAGAAGTGAGTTCAGTAAAACTCAGACATCTTAAATAGAAAGGCAAATACCCACCTTAATCCAAATAGGATTGCATAAATTGTGTCAGGAGCACAACAGTGCTGATTTTCCCAATGCAGGAGGGTAAGCAGATTAAGTAGGACTATACAGGG